ACCAGCCATGACGACCGATCGAATGAAATGTATGCCAAAATTTTCTGGTGATGGTTCACAAGATCCCAAAGAATGGCTTCTCCTTCTGGAACGAATGTGCAAACTCGCCAACATCGACCTCGAAAAATGGGTGGAATGTGGCATGAAACACAAGCACACCTCATTGGCAAGCAGCCAAAGAGCCCGGCGGCTCTCCTCGATCTTGTTCTTCAAGCTGAAGTGGATCGCAAGGATATCGATCGGAAATGAGTCGAACACGAACGAGCCAAGAAACTTGAGGCTTTGGCCAAGCAAGCGGCCCAACAAGTCTATGTCGCCCCTCAAAGACAATCCAACAACACACAAGGCTCGACACGAAACGCTCAAGGACATGACGGCTTTGGGCAAGGTGGCTATTGGCGAGACGGTCCCATTCGTAGCGGATATGGACGCGGGAATTTCGGGAAGACGGCCTTCATCACGCACGATGGCCTTTACGAATTTAACGTTCTAGCTCAAGGCCTCATGAACGCTCCTCCTACCTTCCAACGGGCAATGAACGAGCTCCTGGCGAACGGACGGTGGCGATGGAAGTCGGAATCCGCTAAGGAGTGTGTAACAGTTACATTCTTCTTTGGCTATTAACCATTGGATGTAAAACGATTCCGAAAGGAATAACCTCACAATTGGTGCACTAGCCGGCCGGTCGTCTTTTCCATCACGATGCGGTGCGGTTCGGATGATGAAACATTTGTTTGGCTCGGAGCAATTTGATGATTTGCCTTTGGTGGTGGCAACCAAGAGGCTTCAAATGAATGACTTTGCCTCACTACACCGTCGACATTTAGGTCAAAGCAACATCGAGGGTGGCAACTCGAAGGCCAAACGAGCACTTGGCCTCGACGATCAAGCAGATTCGGCGACAAGGCGGCCTCGACGATCAAGCAGATTCGTCGACAAGGTGGCCTCGACGATCAGACAGATTCGGCGACAAGGCGGCCTCGACGATCAAGCAGATTCGTCGACAAGGCGGCCTCGACGATCAAGCAGATTCGTCGACAAGGCGGCCTCGACGATCAGACAGATTCGGCGACAAGGCGGCCTCGACGATCAAGCAGATTCGTCGACAAGGCGGCCTCGACGATCAAGCAGATTGGTCGACAAGGCGGCCTCGACGATCATACAGATTCGGCGACAAGGCGGCCTCGACGATCAAGCAGATTCGTCGACAAGGTGGCCTCGACGATCAGACAGATTCGGCGACAAGGCGGCCTCGAC